GGGGTCCAGACACCAGCGAAGCTTCAGCTTTATTAGAGAGCCAAATGAAAAGAATTACAGTAATTACTGCTTGATGTAATTAAGCGATGGGGAAGGGCTTGTGCAGTTGGAACACCAGCAGGGAGGGAGTGCAACCGTCTCCTGTTGGAAAAGTTGTGCAGGTACAAGGTGGGAAAAGGTCCCAGTACCTTCCCTGATGGCGAGCCATGAGCTGAGCCTCCCCTTCCCATTCCCTGCAGCTCAGCATCGCTCCCCAGTGAACAGGAAGGGCTGGGGACAGAGGACCTTCAGGCAGGGAAGGGCTGCTCCTGGTCAGCACTGAGACATCTCAAAACGTCTCTTCAACAGGAACGATTTGGGGTTCTTTGTGCTGCTTTGGGATGCCAGCGCCTAATGAGGCTGTGCCCAGCCCAGCAGCCCCCTGCCCGCCCCCAAGGCCCTGCCTGCTCAGGAAGATGAGCCCACATTGTCTTCTAAAGTGCATTAGTGAAACCACATTAAACCCCCGGGAGATCGTCTTATTCCAGATTTCAAGTGCTCTTAATTCAATTCAGCCACGTTGAATTTCTGCTGCTTTAACTGCGTGTGAAGGCTCCCGTGCAGACGTTTAGTGCCATTTAGCAAATGCCTTTAACATGCAGAGCTCTCCCTTCGCCCAGCCCCGCTCCGCTGCTGCCGGCTCAGAGCCCAGCCCCGGGCAGGGTGGCCACCGGCCGGGGGCTCTTCTGGCTGGCTGGGACACGATGGGTGCAGAGAGGGGGCAAAGCACCCAAAGCTAATACACCAACACCCCCCAGTGTAACTGCCTCCCCACAAAGACCCCGAGGGCAGGTGGGAGAGCAAACCCCAGCCCTGCTACAGGGTGCCCCAGGCACTGGGAGAGCTCTTGCCACCCTCCGGAGCAGAGCCCTTTGGGCAGGGAGGATGCAGGGTTTGGACACAGCTCGATGTGAAGGTCACTCAGCAGCATCAGCGCTGTCCAAGGCCTCAAAGAGCCTCTGCACCACAAGTGCCTTCAGCTCAAAGCCAGGCCAGGAGGTCCTTATTTTACATTTACTTTGCTTCCTTTCAATATTATGCACTTACTTCCTCAGCTGGGGCCAGCACAGGTGCCACAGCACCC